GGAGGTGAAGAAAACCATTATAATATCTGTTTTAAGAGATGCTTAACAAATAATTAGGGATTTGAAGTCATAATATTGCCTTTGTTTATTAATTTTATTTGCATATTCAATAATCTATTTTTATCTGACTGATTTGAAATTAGGTGCTTTCTTGATTGGGAATACTCTGTAGATGGTGAGGAAAAACATGCAGTGTATGGTGGAGGAGGTGCTGCTTACCGGATGTTTGCAAAGATCTAGCATAGTGTGATAGATTCCACGAAGAGAGTAGTGCAGTGCGGGAAGTGGAGGATGTTAGCGATGGAGTGGATTCCATAGAGCAAGAAGAGACCATACAGGATACGAGAAATTAGAAGAACCAGTTTCTTTTTTAATTTATTTTTTATATACTGAACAAATGAGTTCTCGTTCTTGCATAACAGGTCTGACTTAGACTTGTTTACATTTAAAAACTTTGAACATTGACTTTGATAAAAAGAAACGGTTTGTTATCAATAAAATGTTCTTACGCTGGTGTTTTTCTTTACTTCTTCTATTACTTTTTCGTCTCTTGTAGAATTTGGTTAGCAAAGCAGTCTAGCTGCCCTGCCATTAGTTGCAGTTGGGCAGCTACCCACTTGGCCTCTATTACTGTGTTTTTAATTTCTTTTGCTTTTTGTTTTAACCTTCCTTCTTTTCCTTTGAACTCTTTCTCTTCTCTTTAATTTCCTTTCTCCTCTCCTCAATTTCAATGGCTGCCAGGCAGCTCCTTTTTTCTATTTCTTCTTCTGGGGATAGCTGTAAAAATGAGTAACGCACCTATAATACTCTGTCTATTATTGTTAACTTATCTTACCCCGGTCTCTACGATAATAAAATATGATTAGCTCATCCTTTAAAACAAAAAGCATCCCATCTCAACAAAATGTTGAAAGCCTTGTCTCATCAGGAGCTCAGAAGGCAATCAAGGAAACAGGTCAGGGTAGGGGAGGTAAGGTAAACGTGAATAAAAATAGCCGCAAAGGAATGGGGCGGGTTTCGGAGAAAAGGCCTGTTTCCATACTTTTCGACGCCATTATGGTAACATTTGGCTGAGCCCTACGAGCCTTTTATTACTTTAAGATGCCTTTTGCTTTCCCAGAAAACCGTGCGATTGGGAGTCTTGCCCTATCATCACTTGGCGGGTATTAACAGGGGACTTTATGAGTTACAGTATTTTCTCATTTCATTTTTGTTTGTATAAAGCTTGTTTTATGCAATTGATTTCTTACAACTTGAGGCACAATCCGCATTTTATTTGAATGGTACTTAGCTCCTCATACAGCCCTGCCAACCCCTGATAAAGGAAAATCTGGAGACTCATAGAAAAAAATCGGAAGATTCTACAAAAAGAAGTGAGATTCTATTTTTTCCCGATCAAAATTAAACGAATCCTTTTCCATTAGGGGGAATTAACAGTCTATTTTAATATAACTTTGCTTTAGTGTGGTCTCTCTTGTAACAAATTAGATGCCACTTTTTCTTTGATGACTTTAAGAGACCAGAAAATAGGTCATCACTGGGACGAAACATACAGCAGAGTCATTTCTTTGGGCTAAGACAACTTCATGCCAAAAATAGTCAAAGCTTATCCAGGCACAAGAATTTCCCCACAAAATTTCTGTTTTTATTTAACAAGGTAAAATTTCATTTTAGAATGATATTTCTCAGAAAACCATGAGATTGGGAGTCTTGTCGTGAGGCTGTGAGAAAAGTTAAAAAATCGTGAGACTCACGGCAGAATGGCTAGAGTTGGCAGGTCTGCCTCATATGACATAGCCCGCGAACAGCAGACGCATTTCCGGTCGTCGCTTCGCTCCCTCCGAAAACTAGCGTCTTCGAACCCGAGCGGCAAAACAATTTCCGTGACGTGAAACCTTTTGTTTTGATGTTGGCCAATCAGAGCAAAGGGTAGAATACAGCTCGAGTGACTCCTCGCGACCTCTCGCGCTGAAGCGTCTTGGATTTCGGCGAGAGTTACCAAATACGCTTTGGAACGTGAATTTCGCGACCGTAACAAGGTTTCCTGCGACGTTGAATGCTGACTTCTTCATGAAGCAACAGCTTCTTAAGCTATGTATGTGACGTGGGCCTTTGGTTTCGCTTTATGAAGTACGGTAGTACATGACATAAAAAAAACTGGACAAAATAATCGCTACAGCGAAAAGAAAGTAATATCGCGCTAAGACTTATTTATTTCAATTTCATGACCAGCGCTGACAAAAGATGGTGAATCAATTATACAGACACATCCATGATTGATTCAGAAATCTCTGACAATCGCTCGTTAATAATTCTAGTATCGCCACAACACAATGATCTGAAATATTATAAACTAAACCTGGGCCAGACCCTGCGTGAAATAAATAGTTACAGCAGTAATTTGATCATGGTCAAGATGACATTTCAGCTATACGACGCTTCGACTCATCTCACAAAAAACTATGGAAGTTAAAACCTTGAAAAGAACACGATATTAAAGAAATATAAGAACAAATATAAAATGCTTTCGATGCGATCAAAGTTCTATCTGAACCAAGAAGCAACCACGCATGGGAAATCAATTATCACGCGTCCTAGCTTTCAAAGATAAAGGATATCTAGCCTACTCAAAAAATATAATGTCTAAAACAGCACACTGCGAGGAACCAGAAAGAAACAGAAGCAACAAACGACATGATGCGACTACTGTCATTAGGACATTTATCGTTTCAAATATGATCAAAACAACTAGGTGTGATAAATCATTGACTCCGTAGGCAAATAGATAAAAAATATCCTCAAATCTTTTCTTCGATATGAGTCCTCTTGATGCTTATTTCATCAATCAGTCCCACGATCCTGGCAAATTAACTTTCATAAACGCGTCGATCTGAGAAAAAAGGGTGGCTATATACAAGCTATTTCGACTTGTAAACATATCCACCGCACACGATCTTGCGAGAAGTCTCGCGAGTTAGTTCCTTGATTTTAAGAACTAAATCGTGATTGGCTAAAGAGGTTTTACGTCACGGAAATCTTTTTGCCGCTCGGGTTCACAGACGCTATTCTTCGGAGGGAGAGAAGCGACGACCAGTAATGCGTCTGCTGTTCGCAGGCTACATATGACATTCTCTATCGAAACCTGTATGTAGTAGAGGAAACTTTGTATTAAGTGGGCACTAGAGCATTCTCTGAGGTGTCCGCTTAAATTATACAAGTTTTACTGTACATGTTTGACTCCACTCGCACTAACTATTGATGTGAAACGATATGAAATTGCTCAATGCATAATAGATGTACATGTTTGAAGCTGTTTTTAAATTTTAATTAATTTTTTTGCTATTTATCAAATTTAAATGTAAGCTTATATGTATAACGGAGAAATATCCTTTGCTTCAACAAGATGGTACAACCTTCAAGTGTTAAAAAAATATATATTTCCCGTGTAGTTATTATAGATACATAGTGTTGAGCGAAGTCTTTGGTTTCCTTTTACTTAAAACCGAAAAATAATGGACTTTTACGTTGTCCCGGGATAAGCGAGTCGAGATTATCTGTTTATATCAATATTAAGCACACTCGAATGGAGTGATCATTTTTACTGCTAATTTCTCCAATTAAACATCAAGGACAATGTTTTCCACTATTGCGGACCTACCCTTCTACGAAGTGTCGAATTTTCACACCAAACCGATTTTTTAAAACATGCGACGTTAATATGCGATCATGCAAATTTCTGTGACAAATATTCCACTTGAAAATATGACTTAAACTGTTTCCGAGGTACTTATCAACTGAATATAATACAATAAACTCTCCTTCTCGGAAAGAGCTCTTGCAACTATAATTCTCTCTAACAGAAACTACTTTAAAGTTTAGTTATCCCGAAAAGACAGCTTGAGTAGGTGGCACTATTGGTATTATTGGAAATAATAGCAAAGTGATGAATACAATTGCATCAGTTCTCGGACTACCTCAGCGGCTACGCTGCACACTCGAATGGACTGATCATTTTTCTGCTAGTTTATCGCATTTAACTTCACCTACCCTTGTGCCAAGTTTCGATGTTCAACACCTCACCGATTTCGACAAAATGCGATATTACTGTGCGAACATGCAAACTTTTGCGGCGCATTATACCACTCGAGGAAATTGACCAAAACTGTTTACAGCTCTCATACGCGTTATTTTTCAGATTAATATACATTTCACTCACCTTCTCGGAAAGAGATGCTGGAATTGCACTATCCTACTCTGACAAAAACCATTTTGAAGCGTCAATATCCAGGAAAACCAACTTTAAAAGTAGCATTTAGAAATGGCAACGGCGCCATTTTCGAAAAATCCTCGAAGTTGCGCGCTTCTCTCCTCGTGACGTCACGATGGCCAAGATCATCCGGACAAACAAACTACGAAGTTCACCACCCCCCTTGGTTGACAGCTGAAGCTGACAGAGTTTTGTTAACCTGAGATCAGGCTCAATTTTCTTTCGCTTTGTAAATAACACTCCGGCGGGCAAGGCGAAACGAAAACAGAACCTGATTCAAACCTTCTAAGAAACGTCTGCCGCCCACTTTTTTGATTGATTGACATTTCTTGAATCAGCCAACCAGAATTACTTCCGTTGCTTGTTCTTTTAGTATGGAAATTACACCTCAGATGCCGCTTTCATCCTGTTATTTGGAAATTGGTCATCCGCGGTTCTATGGCTTAGCTGCCTGGACTATTGGCTATTTAGTCTTTATGGGCTTGTAGTTATTTATGCTGGTTAATCTCGACTATAATCTCTCGTGTCACGAAAATCGGCCCATCACTTTGTTTTGGTTGTTTTTTCTCGTGTGTTGTTTTATTCGCAAGGCTCAATTTTTTCTTTCAAAATTGCTTTTTATGTAGAGGTGACCGTTAAAGAGCTTCAAGGCCACCTTAAAAAGCTTAAACGTACTTCCGCCTCAAATTCTGTTGCGGTGGCTCTCATGTCCTTACAACAGCAGTTCGCGTAGCCCCCTCCAGTCTTTGACCAGTATAGAGCTTTGACAGGGCTCGAGTCGTTGGTTGACTTAGCCCGGGACAATGCAGATACCGGGACCAAGCGTTTCAGCAAAATTCTCCACCAGTTCCTCCCTCTACTGGGGAACTCACAGTTTCAGAACATCCTTTTGAAGTTGGTGGGCGACAAAGAAGACGTTGAGGTAGCGAAAGCCATTCAGAAGTCCCTACGCCCTTCCACTTCTCCAGGGCCTTGTGCCCCTTGCAGCTGGCACAATCCTCCTCACCGCTCCCCCAATTTCCAGCACCGTCCACGCTCAGGGCAGCCTATTTGTTTTAGTTGCCGTCGTAAAGGCCACATTGCAGGGTTTGGCCTTGGAAATTGATAAATAAATGTTTGTTTACTTTTTCGCTTCGGAAAATGTGTTGTTGTTTTACTTTCGATCTTATGCTTCAGCTATCAGTCCGGTCGATCTGGGGCGGGTCTTCTTAATAATACTCGATACTCTGTCTATGACGGGGTTCCTAGATCGGCCTGGTTGGTGGCTCCCTTTTTCCCTTATTTACTTCTTTTTTCCAGTTCTGTGTAAAGCTATCACATGGGGTATACGTGCGTTGCCCTCGTGGTAAAGTGATTTTCAATTTTTTCGCTTTTAGGCACCGTTTAAACTTCGATTAAAAAACGTATGAGATTCCTTTAAATCTGATCGTTTCTGATGTAACTGGAAAGGGGAGCCCTCCCGCTGGGCCGGTCTGCTTCCGTCTCCCGAGATGGTAGCCTCTGGGAGGGTCCGTGATTCGCTCGCTCTACTCCGCTTTCGGGACCCCTCCTTTTTCATTTCGAGCTTCGTTCATAGCAGTTTGTCTCTATGGACTAAGATACTTAGTGATTCCCCCGTTCATTCAGCCTTTCTTCGCTACCTGGAGTGTGGTGTAGAAGTCCACGATATTTTCTCGTCTGTTTCGAGGGTTCCTTTCAAGGTCAAGTGTATAGCAGCCCTTCTCCCCCTCGTGCGCATTTTACGAATAGTAGAAGCTGTCACCCCCTTTCAGAGTTCATCTCTAAACTTATTCTGGAACTGGTGGTTAATGGATCCCTATTGGTCTGGGGAAAAGTGGGGGTGGTGCAACCATTTCATTTAGTCATGCCTGTTACAATGGAACCCACTAAACCTCAAACGTGCCACGACGAGGGAGATTTCTTAACCTATGGATCAAAGATCTCCCCTTTTCCTTTGATCTTTTTACCTACCTCCCTTGTTACGTCCACAATAATAGCTTCCAAACCACATGCGACGACAAGAGTTGATATGACCATATCCGCGTTTCGCCAGACAGCAGGACGTACTTCGGTCTTCAGTTGAATGGGCGGTAATTTGTTTTTAACAATCTCCCCTCTGGGTGGAAGGCTAGCCCGTACATTTCTCACTCTACTGGTTTGATCGCCACTAGCTCCATTCGCTCCCACTGTGTTCCTTGCTCTCAATATATAGATGATCGTCATAATCCGGCGCTTCAACCATCCTTGCCCTTGGTCTGGTTTCCAGCGTGCCCAAGAGGCTGTTTATACCGCCTGCTACATCCTCATCGATCTCGGCTATTTCATGGGCCTTGAAAAGTCGACCCTTGTTTCCCTGCAAACGCCGATTTTTCTGGGGTATATCATAGATTCTACTAAGACTGCATTTGTTTATGCCCCTCGATAAGAAGGTTAAGTTTGCTTCTCTTAGAGAACATACTACTTAGCCACAAGACGGTATCGCTTAAGACTCTGTAGTAGTTTATTGGTAAGATAAACTCCTTTACACTTGTCGTACCTGCCGCCAGGTTGTTTTCTCGTGCGGCGCGCTTGGCCATGTCAAAAGTACTGTCGTATCCGAGAGCTGTTCCTGTTTCTCATGACTTAAGGCAAGAGCTTGAACATTGGCGTTTCCTGGATTCGTGGTCTGGTTTTTTGCCGTGGAAGGACGAGAAACATTTCCAGTTAACAGTCCTCTCTGATGCGTCAGGTTCTGGCTGGGGCGGCGTCCTCCGTTTACCCGATCATCCTCAAAAGGAAATTCACGGTCACTGGGATCTCCATCAGAGTGACCTGCCCATTATTGTGAAGGAAGCTATGGCCCTTCTCTTTGTTTTGCAGAATGTGGTTCGTCTACTCTTAAACGCCAGGGTTGATTATTTCTTTTATAATGTACCATTGGTCGCTTGCTGGAAAAAGGATGGCTCTAGGAACGCTCATGTCAACGCTGTTCTTAAAGAAATATTCCACCTCACTTTATCCACTAACCACCAGATCACTTAGTTTGAACTTTGTTCCTTCTGACGAAAACCCAGCAGATCCCCCTTCCCGAGTTCTTTTGGATCTGGATTGCATGCTCAGCCTCGCTTCTTGGCTAGCTGTTCAAAGAGCAATTGGTCCTCATACCATCGATCTTATGGCTACCCCCGATAATGTCCAGAGAGATTTGGCTGGCAGGGCTCTTCCTTTCTTCTCCCCCTCACCCTCGTTTCAAGCACTTTGTGTAAATGCTTTTTCGCACGTTATATCCCCGTCATACAACGCGTATGTGTTTCCTCCGATTGTGCTTATTGGCCCCTTGCTTAGATTCCTCGACTCTCGGGGTTGCCCTTACGCCATTGTTGTGCCCGACCTTCATCCCAGGAAGTATTGGTGGCCACTTCTCGTCTCCTCCTGCGTAGGTTCATTCAAGCTTGGTTGTAGAGGGCAACAGGACATCCTGCTCTTTCCTGCCGATAAGATTTCCGGTATGGAGTCTAGACCACTTTAGTGGGACTTAGGGGCGTTTCGAATTTGTCCGGTCTAGGTCCTTATAAATGTAAGATACAGTACCCCCATTTTCTAATTTACGCTCCTATAATGCTGCGTTGGTTTATGATTGTTTTATTAAAGTGCAGTGTGTACTTATAATCGTTTCTTTTTTTTCGTTTTATCCTCTCCTCACTCCTCTGTTAATGTTCCTCGCATTTGGAGGCCTGCCTCCTTATGTCCCGATTGTTCCTACGCTAAAGACGCTGGATTTAACTTTTGCCAACATTGTGGGTTTCAATCTGCTCCTCCTTCAGTTTCCGCAAGAACGTCTAGAGTTTCTCTTGATCTGCCCGCCATGGATCGTCGGATTTCCTCCCTCTAATCAGTCAGAGCTGCCAAGCCATACGAAAGGAAGAATTGTAGTTTGCAGTGAGATCTAGAGTCGTCTTTATCCCCCCTTGCTTTCCCCAATTCTCCGAGTTCAGCTTCACCTAAAGACGTTATAAGATTCCTCGTGTGGAAGGACTCTAAAGGGAAGACCAAGATCCACTCGCCTTGCTGCCCTAATTTCATTCTAAACGGACGTGTGGCAGCCCTACCAGGTTAGCTGCTGGTACAGTTAATAGCATGTTGGGAAACAAAGTTCCATTTTAATTCCGTCGGCCGTTCAGGTGATTGGTCTGGTTTATCTCCTGGTAACCCGCGGGTCATCCATCGGTAAAGAAATAGCTTGCGCTCGTTTCCGAGGAACAGGCGAAGGCTAGATTTTCTCCTCCCCAGGTTGTGCCATTCTTCATAGACACGTTTTCTAAGTTATGTGCTTACTTACGTCACCAAGTGTTTCTTCATTCCATACCCGTCTTAGAAAGATATATCTTAAGCCGTCATCTGGCATTTTTCTGTCTCGACTTTTACTTAGGCGACAGATAGCCAACCTCATGAGTATTGATCTTCGAGAAGGGTTTCTCTTTCGTGCTACCGACCCTCAGGATTGCGTGTCTCCAAAGCCCTTCGTGGGCTCTACTGTAGCTGACCGTCTTCGCCTTCATCCCAAGACGTTAAATATTGACGGCGGGGAAACCATGCACAGTTTTAGGGGCGGTTGTTCTATGACCCTGTCCCTTCTAGGTGCGTCTGATGACCAAGTGGCTGGGGAAGTTGGTTGGAAAAGTTGTGGATATGGCGCTTCAAGCTTCTCTCCTTGCCCAAGGCTCTGTTAGAGGGGAGAACGGAATTCCTCGCGCGGGTTCATTAAGGGCCAAGTTCCGTGCTCGCAAAACATCGACAATATTCACACTGAAATATAGTAGCCATGGTGGTACGTATGTTGGGCATTAATTTGGAAAATTTAGCATCCCTTCAAAACATTGAATGTTTTAACGAGGATTTTTAGCAGCACGAAAGCTGAGTTCCTCTTTAAATTTCAAGGTTTTGCAGTGAATCAATCTTAATGAAAGTTTCAGACATTATTATATAATAGTGAAAATTATATGATGAGGTTTAAAAAGAATTCTGTCTTGCCGTTCTAGAGATACAGCTATTTCGACGAAGGTTGTCGGATAAAGTGCACGCGACAACACCGAAAGGTGTTGTGGGTGGTTTTGAGTTCACTGTTTTTCAAAGAAATTTGAAAGAATGACATGAAAGCCCATGGACGTATGTTTGCGAGTGCTAAAGGAAAGCAACAAAAGTAGGAAAAACTGTTTGAACGCAGAGGTCCACGCAACGTGTAAGTGCAACTGACTGGTTCCTCTTGCCGGATCTCTAATTAAAGACATACTGTGGTCAGACGTCTCTTAAAGTGTAAAATAATACAAAACTGAATGCAGGGCTGGCACTACCGCAAAGGGCTGATTTATTATAGGCCAATATTTCGGCTAACAAAATTAGCCTTCCTCAGGGCCAGAGCTTTACTGAGAGAAAATATCTTTTAACGGCTCCTAAAGTTTGAATTTAAAATTTACATAAGTGCTACAAAAGAAGCTTCATAAAAGAACAAATCAGAGAGCAAAACAGGTACCTCGAAATGAAGCCTTAAAAGAGAATAAACCAGCCACTTGAGATACAAGTGACCGAATCCCTTTTACAGTTACCTATACTATAATCCAGCCTTACCTGACATCCATGACATACTCCGCAAGAAACGACGTATTTTGCAATCCACCGAACGCTTAAGAAACATCTTTTAAGAAGTACCTGTGGTCGCTTTCCGTCGTTTACCAAACTTTCGTGACCTCCTCGTTCGTGCGAGACTCGCAAACAACGACAGCACCCCCAAGCCCCCTGCCAGCACATTCCATCCGTTGCAACTCCAGACATGGCTGCCTCACCTGCCCACACATCAACAATGGAAAGACATCATGCACTTTTACCAGGACAGGAGAAACAAGACAAATTAAACATCACATTACTCGTGACTAAACAAACCTAACATATATTATCCAATGTAAAAGATGTAAAAAAAAAAGCAATATAAAGGTGAAACTAAACCCACCCTTCATGAATGCTTTAAAAAACATAGACAGACAGCAAACAATCCACTCCACGCAAACGTCACAGCAGCAGTCCCTCTCCACTTTAATCAACATGGCCACTCGATCGCCGACATGGAACTTATTCCGCTGGAAAAACAACCCACCCTCAGCATGTCACGCCGTAAGGCAAGAGAAGCGTACCTCATAGATAGAGACAAAACCCTGTCACCAGACGGTCTGAACCGAAGGAATGAGCATTGAACTGTTTCTATTTCTATTTTTATGGTATAATCATTTACCTGTATATTATTCTATAGGTATTAATAATTGTAGTTTATTATTAACCACTTATGTAAATTTTAAATTCAACTTTTGTTAGCCGAAATATTGGTCTATAATAAATCAGCCCTTTGCCGTAGTGCCAGCCCTGCATACAGTTTTGTTTTAACAAAAGTAGGTTTGACAGCTACAGTGTCAGGGAACAGTGCATTGTTCATATCCTTTATTACCTTTCGGAATTGTCACGTGCACATTTTCTCTCACAACCTTCCTCGAAATAGCTGTATACAGAAAAGCGTGGAAAGCCAAAATTTAGAGTAAACTTGCACTTACAAAGATGGTGAGAAAACAGGTTAGGTTTCAGGATCACAAGAAAGAAACTGACACCAAAATTTCCTAGTTTCTAAGTATGATATTAGGCAGCATTCTGACGCTACTTGAGATTAATTTCAGGTATTTAGAGCTTTTATATTAACAATTTATCACGTGAAAATATAAAGTTTGAAATATACTTACTTTTTATCAGGCGGCTCTACTATCAGTAGCAGGTCTCGAATTTTATCGATTTCAAAGTTTTTTTTGTTTATTGTTATCACAGTGATACTGATTTTGCTAAAAACTGCATTTTGACAAATCTAAATTTATTGTCAATCGCTAGTGAAAATCTTATAGCGATCGGACTAGGATAATATCACTTGTTAAGGTGATTAATAACTATCTGTAAGGCCTCCGAAAAACTCTAATGAAACACGTTCAACCTCCGGTATGTTGTGAGTTGTATCCCATAATTTTGGCATAAGATAGTTCGGTTGACTCCGAGCTGCTAAGGGGTTGTTGTTATTCAGTTGCTCTTGTAATTGTGTTGATGTGGAACTGCATACAGCTACTTTGTACTCGAGCTAGTTTACATTCTGCGAAGAAATTCCTTCTATTGTTCCCAGCGAGATGTAAATCTGGAATCACTGGATTGCAAGTCCGATGCTCCAGCTGGCACCTCCTCCTCCTGTGTAAACTAACGGCGATTTAACCATTGACGGCCGTGGCTAGCAAAACCGGCCATACAAGACTCGGAGACTCCACTGCTTTAAAACATTGCAACTTTTTACCCGGGCAATCGTACGAACATTGCCTTTATTTCACTCTTGAGCAGACACCTTGTGACGGTTTTGGACGCAATCTTGACGAGTGGGAAACCGTGTGAGAAATTAGTGTTTGTATGAGAATCTAATGTCGAATAATTTCCTTAAAACGGCTATTCTGAAAAAAAATGAATTGTAAACTAAATCTTCACTCCTAACGATTCTGCTGAAAAACTTTGAGGCCGTTACATGCAGCTAAATGCGCTAGAACCACTTTTGAAAATTTTCCATACATTTGTCTGTAAAAAATTTCTCTTCCTACCGACTAAAATTACCCAGGAAAAATTGCAGATAAATTTATGGAATATCTAAAGGAAGCGTCTGGGGAAATTCAAGCACAGTTACGGCCCTCTCAAAATTTGATGGTAAAATCCTATGCTGTGTAGCTTTGGTTTACAAGCCCTGTCTCCACTCTCAAAATCACAGCGTTAGCCGAAAGATGGTATTTTGGCATGGTAGAGAAAATTCCCATTTCCAGCAACATGCATGGAGATATTTCGCTTTTAAACATTTACTGAGGTGTAGCGGTGATAGAACTTTGCCTCCAATCGAAAAAATCACACAAAAAATGACTGAAGAGAAAAAACACAGGAATACATCAAACGTAAGTCTCCTTATTTATACAATGATATTTAGCGTTTGGAGACCTCAGTATTTTATTCCTCATATAACGTCTCAACGTTGCCTAGTCCCTGTACGGCGTTTTGCTAGGCCCTCTCGGTCAGTTCACTTAGGCAAGTGACGTATCCAAGGCGAACGGGTGGGAAACGCCTAGACAAAAACAGAATGCGCACGTGTTCGTTGCTTTTTGAAATTCAAGATGTCTTAAACAAAGGAAATTACGGTTTTTTTAAAAAGCCTTGTGGATATTTTCGAGAGCGACTTTTGTCCACCGGCTTTGAAAAGTCATTGGAATGGACATTGATTTCTGCTCCTTCAATCTCATCATTTCAACTGAACTATCGGAGCCGATTTAAACGGCCGCGCGAATTTTCAAAGTAAAAACAATACTTCAGTGACTCTCTGTGTAGTAAACTTAGGGCGCAAATCTTGAATAATCAGAAAAACATGCTTTCAAATAAAATTCATTAGCTGCGTATCAAAAAATGCCCAAGAACTGAACCCAAAAGTAAAAATCCCATAAAATTCGCTGACATTCGCAGGTCATGCGCATAATGCGAGAAGCAGTAAATTCAACTTGGATGCTGTATCAGGATCGTGTTTTGAGCTAATTTTATCAATGAAAGAACACACACAACAACAGATAGAGAAATTACTTCTCGAAACATCTTATTTAAAAACCCATAAATTAATCCTTAAAATCAATTCGCGTAACAAAAACTTGGCCCGTGGATCCGTTCCCGCAAGAAAAATCGGCTGAACACATTGCAAAAACTATTCAACACAAATCTCAAATAGGCGCTGAAGCCGATCTGAAAATGTATAAAACGTCTGAGATGAAATAGTTATTAATACATAATGTCCTTATAAAAACGTAGTTTTTTAATATGAAGTACAAAATGTGCCTGAAAATCCGTTGCTTCGCTGCTTGGCTGCGTTTCAAAACAGGCCAAGCGCTCCGATGGGCTGTGAGGAAAATTTCGAATTCCTCGAAGGACAAGTTTGTAAAGAAAAGCCTTCTTTCGTACACTAAAAGAAAACTCAGGATTCTTTTGAACTTCCCTTCCCATGTGTGTCTTTTACTGGCGTATTTTCAACCACGAAATGCGAAACACTGGTCTTGTAAACCACCGTACGAGATCTCTCACGTTTGTATCACTTTTCAAGAAATTTGTCTCGGCCTCACATTTTTGCTTGAACCACGTGACTTCGTCCAGATCTGGTCTGGGTCACGTTGCTGCTAGGTGAAGGTGTCACAGTATTACTCGACGTGGATGTTGCTGGGACTTCCTGAGTAATGGCTGATTGCTAGCCAGGTCGTGATCATTGTTAGCAGGTTTGTTCTCAGGCAGACCTGGGGTCTGAGCCCGGTCAGGTTCTTGAACAGGCAGACTGTCTGTCTGGGACTGGACAGCATCACGTAGGTGAACACGGTTTCTGCGATAGGAGCGTCCATTCACTTCCACAAGGTAACTGCGCGGGGCTATTAGAATAACTCCTGGCTTCCAATCGCTGCGAGGTTGTTGAGAATGTGCGTTGACTCGGACTGACTGTCCAATTACTGGACAAGGTAGCTGTTTGGCACTTTGGTCATGGTAGTGCTTGGCGAGTTGTCTCTTGCACATCACTTGAGCTGTTACAGCAGCCTGGACTTCAGGCTTGTACAGCGATTCTTTGATCTTGTTCTGCGTGACAAGGCGTTGGACAGGGGAACTGCCTTGAGAGGGAGTGGGTGAGTTTCTCCATTCTAGGATAGCTTTCCATACAAGTGTTCCTTGTTTGTTAGCTTTACTGATAATGGACTTCATTATCTTGACTGCTGATTCAACCTTGCCATTCGCCTTTGCGTGATGGGGACTGGAGGTGACATGTTGGATGTCCCAGTCGTGAGTAAAGTCAGTAAATTCCACAGAGGCGTAATTGGGACCCTTGTCAGAGATTAACGTGATAGGAATTACATGGACGGCAAAGATTTGCTTGAGCTGTTCAATCAAAACAGCTGAGGACAGAGAGTTCAATTGTTTTATCTCAATTTAATCTGAGTAGAGGTCGACTACAATCAGATGATGGCTGCCATCACACTCAAAGCAATCACTAGCGACAATTTGCCAAGGCAAGTTTGGAATCGGGTAGGTCATTAAAGGCTCTTTTGTGAGGGCAGGTCTGGTCTGCTGGCAGATGTCACATCTTTGAACTGCTTCAGTCAAATCAGTGGTCATTCGTGGCCAATACATGTTTACTGGATTCCCAAATGTGAGCGAAGGGCTCTGGCTTTCATCTCTCTTCTCATCGAGACTGGAATGATGATTCTTGTTCCACGATACACTATTGCGTTCTGAGTGGTTAGTTGGTCTCCGTAAGGCCAGTGTTCACGTACACAGAGGGGAGTCTTTAACTTGTTATCAGGCCATCCACTCATGATCAGCGACACCACGGGTTTAAACTGAGGTGTCCTTGCTGGTTTCTAGACGGATCTGCTCCAGGCGCTTGTCTGTGACGAAGACTGCTTCTTCCAGGTTAGTCTCTTTGACTTCTTTGCGAAAACTCTCTTCTTGGCTGACTTGAAAAGTCAGGTACTCAGGTGAGTCTGGTTTGGCATGACGCAAGGAGAGAGCACCTCGGGAGAGAGAGTGTCACTTATGAACATTTGAGGGCCAGGCTTGTACGATACCTTTAGTGGGTACTTCCGTAGCCGGAGTCTCACCCTTTGAAGGCGTTTGCGGCTTGTGAGGATTGGTTTTGAAAAGATTGTCATAAGAGGCTTGTGATCGGACAATACTTGGATAGTGTCTGTCCAGAATGTAATGTTCAAATCGTTCAACAGCAAAGACAATCGCTAAACATTCTATTTAGATCTGTGCATAGTTTCTTTCTGTCTGAGTTAGCGCACGAGAAGCATAAACAACTGGTTCATCCTGGGTGAGGACAGCGCTAAGGGCGACGTAAGAGCTGTCGCACTAGATGATGACTTCTTTGCTGACGTCAAAATAACGCAAAACAGGTGCTTGAGTGATTAGTTCCTGAATGCTGACAAAGGCATCTTCATGTTGAGGTAACAATCAAAGACAGAATTGCTATCTGTTAGGCGACGGAGGGGTTCGCATACAGTGCTGAGCTGTGGTAGGAACTTGGATAGGTAGGTAACTACTCCTATTAGCCGTTGACCTCCATGTACGTCTGTTGGACGGGGCATGTTTTGTATGGCTTGGATCTTCTCTGGGTCAGCTTGAAGACCTTCTGATCCTAGTATGTGGCCCATGTATGCTACTTTGCTGAGCTGGAAGCGTAATTTCTTTTTGTTCAGATTTAGGAAACGCTCTCTGCATCTGTCTAAGAGAGCTTTGAATGCAACATCATGGGATGCAGTGGCTTCTTCGGTGGTCTCACCAGATCCGAAGATAACTATGTCATCATGGATCACTGTGATGTTTTCCAGACCTTCCAGGCGTTCGTCAATCCGCCTTTGAAATTCTTCGGGCGCAGATTTGATTTCGAAGGGCATGCGTAGCCACCTATAACGACTGAAGGGGGTCCAAAAGGTCGTTAAGTAGCTGGACGGTTCGTCCAGGACAACTTGCAGAAATCCGTATTTGGCATCTACAACAGAGAAGACTTAAGCTTTTGTTAGCTTTGGTGCGATATCCTCCACAGTGGGCGTTGGATAATGGTTTCTGACGATGCCTTTATTCATTTGTAGAGGGTCTAGGCACTGTTTGAGTTTGTTCGACTTTCTCACTGCAACCATATTACTGATCCAGGATGTTGGTTTTGCAACTTTCGCAGTAACACCCATGGTCTCGAGCTCTTCGATCTTGCTTTTAAGCTCATCTTTAACTGGAATAGGCACACGTCTTGGATTTTCTTGAACGGGTATGGCGTTAGGGTGCATGTCTCTATGATAAGTACCAGGTAGCTTGCCAAGACCGGTAAAGACATCACGATAGTTATGAAGGATTTTCTCTTGAGTTAGTGACTCATCGCTAGTAAGGTCAACATGCAGGATACATTCTTCATTGAAGTGAATAAGCCTTAGGGCTTCAGAGGCTCTTCCTGAAAGTAGAGAAGTGGATGCATATTCAACAATTTCGAAGTGGACTTTCTTTCTCACGCCATTAGCTGTACAGTAGAGTTTCGTGCTGCCTATGGGTGGTATCAGGGACTGATCGTACAACTTGAGCTTGACATTGGATTTTTCCGGCATTTCGTGAGTGATTTTCTTGTAATCCTTTAAAGTGATGGTGCTACACGAAGCTCCTGTGTCAACCTGAAATTTGATTAGAATGTTATCTTCGGTTTTGTTCGGTATCACGAGAATTTCTGTAATGTACTTCTTCTTTTGTCTAGGAGATTGCAGGGAGAAGATGCTTTCGTCGCTGTCAGGTTCATCCGATGCACCGTTTTCATTCAACTGATTTACTCGCTGGCGCTCATCTTTAGATTTCTTCTTTGGTTTCTCATTACTGTGTTAGGGGGTGGAGCGACAGACTTTTGCAAGGTGATTTTTTTTGTTACATTTAGTGCATGTTTTGCCAAAGGCTGGGCACTTTCCAGCCGCGTGGGAGTCTACGCAATATTTGCAGTTTTTGATCTTGCGAGGATTCTTGCGTGGATCCGCGTGGTGAGCGCGAGTTTCGTTCCCGTGAAGGAGATGAACAGTGTCAGTTTGTTTCATTTTGAGTCGTTGATTTGCTGCCATTTCATTTGTACGACAAATATCGATGGCTTTTTGAAGAGTAAGCGTAGTTTCCCGTAGGACACGTTCACGGTGTCCGTGATCTCGCAAACCAGTGACGATACGGTCACGAAGCATTTCATCTTCAAATGTACCGAACTGGCACGTAGCGGCAAATTTGCGAAGTTCAGTCAAGAACTGATCAAAGCTTTTACCATGTTTCTGAGAACGACAGCTGAATACATACCGTTCATAAATCGTATTTCGTTTAGGCACAAAATATTCGTCAAGCTTTGTAAGGATAACATTAGCATCTTGTCTTTCTTCTACGGTCATAGGGAGATTTCTGCAGACATTAAGGAATTCTTTACCCATGATCGATAATAACGTGGCTACGACTATTTTCTTGTCTTTCTGATCCAGTTTGGTAGCAGCAGCATAATTCTTCCAGCTGTCTTTGAAGAATTCCCAATTCGAGGCTTGATCTCCTGTCATATCCATTTTTGACGGCGAGGGATCATGAATTGAGACATGGTTTTAGTTTACCCATACGGCGATAACCGTTCTGACTTCAAAGCTGTGTGAGCGTGGATTCGCTGGTAATGAAAAAAAAATCCAAGTTTGGTAAACAAGCATGTCTAATGAGTCCCGGATATGTGACGTAATACACTACATAACACTGTCTACCAGGAGGTGTTGCTGATTGGAAGGCAGCTTATACCTTGGCACCCAGGTGTACAAAAGGACACTCATTAATTTTCAATACCGATTTCGGCACAGAATACATCCTACAAACTCGTCAGTTTCTTACAAAGATCGGTAGCAAGCAACAACTCAAACTGCTCCTTCTGCTGTAACACTCAGGAAAATGTCGTTCATCTTTTCTGGCTCTGTTCAAACGTTAAATCTTTTTGGGGAAAAGCTTGTTGATTTCGATTTTATACATAGAGACTACTCGAAGTATATCGCATTTTTTTAGGCCTAAAGTTTGATACCTCTAAATCTGCTCTTCAGGGTTAAACCTCTGCTTTCTGCTAGCCACACACTATATCTGGGGTCGTAGAACCAGCCACAAGGCCCCTCAGCTAAAAATTATTTTGAAGACCCTTCAGTCCCAATGTAAAATTGATTCCTACAAACAAGTATCTTTGTCAAAGAAATGGGATCCTTCGGTCCTACTCTTCAATGCAGGCGGTGCGCACTGGGATCGCAAAGCATCATGGGCGATATTCAAAATCTGATCATTTGTGTCAAGATGGGGAGTAGTGAACATCTCGCAGGAAGCGACTGCGGAGACGAATATTCGTTAAGTACGCTGTAGAAATCAGCGATTTACCTTTATTTTCTTCCAGAGACGTCTGTAAAAACAAAGGCTATCGAATTATCGGGGGGTTAATAAGTGTCAATTGTTCGAAATCACTCGCATGCAGTCGGTAAATCGAAGAATTGCTGCTTTGTTCTATGCTTCAGTCATGAAAGTACTAAAGGTAAGACCTGGGGTTCGCCCGAAAAATGATTTCATCGTCAGATTAGTGCAACTAGAACTACGAGGTACTACGACGATTTCTTCATTATTAGCAAGACGAATTTAAGCTTAAGTTGGCTTGAAAATCTTGTAAGATTGTGTGATAGTATGCTTCCTTCTGACAAGATAGCCCTAAAACATTTCCCAGGTACTATAACAGAACTTTAGTGGGTCAGCTTTACAGGGATTTAGCTCTCTGTTGGCACCTTGTTTGCATTTGTTATTTTTTTTTTTTACCACCTATATTTATCACACATGAAGTAAATGAAAAGTACATAAAGATATCAATACGTGTTCAGTGGGTTGTGTCCTATTTATAAACAATTTTGAGCACTAATTTCTTCAGGGATGTTTAGTCTTAAATAAAAAGCTAATGAAGAAATACTGCAAACTAGTATCCTTGCTTTCTATATAATTGGTATGAGTCACAGAATATAAGGTTTGAAATTGAAAATGGCATTCAGTATTTGTGATTACTAATCCTCTTAAAGTTAAGCAGATGAAGTTACAAGAATTGTGCCTACGAGACATTCATAGTTTTTGCCTTTATTTTTTTATATGAATGATTGTATCAGTATGTACAAACACATGTCATCGCATACGTTTTGTATGACAATAATATTTTTTTAATTCAAAATGTGAAAATCTTATCTGTCAGTGTTTACAAATCTAATGTAATCAGGGGCAAAATGTAGGGAGACCCCTGTCCTTTCTTGTGATCCCCCTCCCTCCAACTACTTTTGTTTAATTCAAATGTTGTATCATAGGTGTTATTTAGGAGCAAACTTTTGGGTAAATGTATTCACATTTTATTATATTGGCATGGTGATTAGTATTTCAGTGCTGTCATTTTATAGTGACGGATATTATTTTTCCCTCCATGTTGTTGATATACTTCAGTCTTTTCGGTTAGCAATTGTTACTGCAGTGGATCCTAGTAGTACCCCCTTTTTCCCACTTAAGATATCTTGTAGTTAATTTTTCATCTCAGGTAAATTTTATTTTTCTTTTGTTTCAACTCCATTTGCACACATTAAAATACCCAAAACAAAAGAAAAATAAAAATTACCCAAGATAAAAAATTAACTACATCAGATATTCCCTTTCCTGTCAACTATTTTTCCCTTAGCCTTGGTTCCCCACTTATAATAATTATTATTTTAGTACATCTATGAGATAAACTGTATTAACACAAGCCACCAAAATATGCAAATTCCTGATATAACTGTGTTCTTGGGGTAAATTAAGGTTGACTGACCTCAGTGTATAAGCAGTTTGTTGCCTAGCTGTTCAAATTTCCTCTAAACTACAATAACCCAAACATCCACCCACACAGACACTAGTCTTAAACAGAGATATTTATTAATTTGACACTCAAGTGAGATAAGAACAATGGGAATATTCCATTGACTAGAATCAAAGTGCCAGCTTGGTGGCTTCTACATGACACTACTCATGCATTTCTCTCACCACTTTTTTTCATAAGGGGTAGCTGTTTTCAAAATGTACAGGGTTTATCTTTATTTAAAGTTCATTTCTTATCTTTGAGAAAAAATATTCAGGTGCTTTCATTATACTCTCAGAGGTTTCACATGCATCATATTATCATTTTACTTGGTGTAATTTGTTTGTTTCCAATCAGACTTCAGTAGGCCATTTCTCACTCAAATATTTTTTCATAAATCTGACATTTGTTATGTGCAATCGTCCACAGGCTTCACGCTCCTGTATATAACCAATGAACTATTTTGTAATTAACTTGTGATTACAAGAGTGTCACTTTCAGTGACATGTCACGTCTGTGCGAGGCCACATTTTGTTATGAAAACATGTCGGTTTAAATTCGAAAAAACTATTTCAAAAAGTGGGGAGCGTTTATACCTTGGCGTAGAACTATCTTTGTAAAAACACTTAAGACTAGTTTCTGTCGTCAGTGAGCACTATGATAGAAATTATAGCTCTCCAAATAACGGATTCAAATTTCATGCTCGTAGAGGATGAATCTTCGTGCTCCGTGTTTTAGATTGTAATGAGGAATACTGATTTTTTTTCTTCACAGAAAAAGTCTAAATAAGTATAAGTTTATGTAACTGTGGATAACTTTCTCAGAAAAGAACTATGTCTATCGAAATATAAAGCATATAACCTGGGAAATTTTTCGACCTTCGCCGCCATCTTGAAAATCCTACATCCACAATGCATCGCAATCGCAGTGCGCAAACCGCCTGTCTTCAATGTTAATTGTTAGTTTAATTTGCAAATTTATATTTGTTCCCAAGTTACCAGCTCTAGAGACGGCTTTCTTGTAGTTGTGTACTGCTTGTTACTAAAGGCTAATTGTGTTCAACTAACAGCTTTGACCTTTAAGAAAATGTTATTTTAGTAAAACTGTTATTATTTATTTATTTACGATTATTTTTCTTTGCCTTTACTTATTCACTTTTTTCTTATTTACTTGGTGATGTAATTAGTGCAATTTGTCTACTACTGTTGTTATTTGTATTTTAATGTTTGTGAAATTATTAATAAAGTTAATTTAAAAAAGTCTCAACGGTCGCCTGTAACGTGACACCGAGAAAGAGAAAGTAAATGTACATTCCGCATGGTGACCTTGGGATGCCTGTGGTCAAATAAAAGCAAAAAAGTCAGGGCTTTTTTCCCCTTTTTGACAAGAACAAAACCGACCATTTTAGCGTCATAGAAAAATGGCAAAAACCCTTTGTCCTCAGGGTTTTTTTAACTGAAATCATCGTTTAGTTACAAGTGACTTTTTTGTTCTTATTTGTTTCCCTGGCCGAGCTACAGCCTTTTGTTCTAGTGTATCCCGGCCTTACCTGGATTTTCAACATCACGACTGCACTGCAAGTGCTTGTTGTGATTTTCAGTGGTCGCAAATTCCAAAATATACCGCCTTGGTAGGTCAAGAAATTCATCAGTAGTCGAGTGCGAAAGTTACTTCGTTTAGGAGCGGCCATTTTTCCAGTTCCACGAGCAACAAGCCAAATTCGCAAACGAAGAAGATCACCTTACTCGCTTCTTTGAGAAAGTGGACTCTTATCTACCTTGACGCTTAATGATGCTCATCAGGCAGCTACCAAAGATGAGCAATTGCTGTAAACTTACCAAAACTGGCATATAAACCATTCTTGAGCGGTTTTTATAGCTCAACGAAGCAAAATGACTACGTCAGAATGCCGTTTCCAGAAAACTCGAGCCTTCAGTAGCTTGTAAGCTAAATATCCTGACACGTAAATAACGTTTATTATTATTATTATTATTATTATCAGAACAACACTGCTTTCAATGGTGACCACAAATGCAGAGTCACGAAATCCTATGGATTTTTTATGTAGAGAAAATCACTCAAAACCCTAAACAGTCTCTGGCGTCAATGGGTTAAAGACGATTTTTCTCCAGGAAACGATTTTGCCCAAATGATTCATACCCCAAAATTTTCCACGTGTCTCAAATAATGAAAGATATCATGAAAGTCAACCACTAAAGACCATAGCTTTACTCACAATCAAATTCTCTATTCATATGTTATTAAACGAACTCCTCCTATAAAAGCTGTTATTCTAATCCCAATCGGAGGACGTGGAAAAGTTGAATTGTGCCGTCACAATTATAGGGGCATAATGGCCTGCCAGCTCGTGCTTGAACCAGTATTATGAGCCGAGCGTTTAGCTTATCACATGTACTTGTCGTGCGAAGTTCAACTGGTCGACGTTTTAGCAACGGTTAAGAAATACAGCATGCCAGAAAAGCTTACTTGCTCAGGATCTGAGCCTAAATCCCTCCTGTGTGGATGTCCAGTAAACGTAGGTTTGGCTACAACCTTTCAAGACGTGTGTTATTCCGATAAGTTACAAAAACTGTTAGTTTTAAAAGAAGGAGTGAAAAGGAGTAAAGCTTGAAGCTGAATTAGTGAAAAGGAATGATGCTTGAAATGATCCTGTCGCAGTTGTTTATTTTC